GTAGCGACAAAAACTGCGGGGAACTCTGCAAAAAACGCATCTTCGCACGGGCAGCCCGTGCGTTTGGCTAATTTTTCCTTTTACAAAGAGCGAAAAAACGCGGAGTTTTGACTTTTACAGAGAGATTTTAAGTGTATATGCGATGGCCACCGGAATCTCCAGTCCAAATTTGTCAAATGAGATCCAATTCCCGAAAAAAACGGATGAAAGCTATATGAATGATGAAAGTGCGAGTTCGTTTTGATAATTAATTAAAAGCACATCAGGTCTAGTCTTTCTGCATTTTTATCGCGTTTTAAATGTACCATTTTAAGTCTCTGTCTGAGCCAGAAACTTTTTTAGCTATAAAAGCCCTCAAAAGCCTACTTTTCGTGCAATGTTTTTTACCGGAAGTTCCCTTGTTCCTCTTCTTCAACTGGATCAAGACTGCAGTAATGACTTATATATTTAAAATATAAAATTAATCAACGCAGCTTCATTTAGTTCGCTCCTGAAAAAACAGAAAAGGGCGAAAGAAGAGCAAACTTCTATCAGCACATAGAACGGTCCCGAAACAAGTCCCTCGAATTTTTTTAAACAAATTTATGCGTCAAATTTCAAGCCAAATCTTACACAAAAATCTCTTGGTTTCTAAAAATCACGGAATTTTGAATGCTAAAAATGTAGGAGGCTTACTAATTTCGAAACCTCTCACATAATTTTGGAACAGAATTAGAAGGGGAAGAACAGACTCTGTCATTATAGCTAGAACATATCAGGAAAGTAAACAAGGCAGTGCGCTAAAAATTAGCACAATTACCACCCTACTAGTGAAATAGCATGAACTCAATTTTGTCGCATGTTATATATTAATCTACTAAGTGTAGCTCGGTACTGAATTGCTCACACTGCTTATTAGGGAGTGAGCATGCTTCTGGGGAACTCTTGTTCTAAAGAAGCACTTAGATCTCTTTACGATTCATTCACTCGTTTCAACGATCTGTTGGAACTGGCGTGTGCCAAGGAGTCAAAATCATCCTCAACTTGTTTCTAAGCAATCTTCGAATCTGGCAGCTAACCAGAACCTTGTCAACCATGTTAATTCCAGAACCTTGTCAACCCTGCCAACCATGCTAATTCCAAACGTCTTTAGTTCTTATAAAAAGTACCAGTGGAAAAGAGTTTACTTCGACTTTTGATTTAAATTCTACAAATATTTATTCGCCGGTATGTCTCGAAAAGTAATCCTTAATTCTGAGCAACTTCCCATCGCTCTCGCAATGATGTGCGACAGAAATAAGGTGTAAGCAGGAGGTGCCAAGAATCTTCCGGTACTAAAATTACTGCACTGTTCGATTACCGTAAGGACTATTAACGTGTCAGCATAGAAGTGTGGCCAAGGACTATTTTTATTGTGAGAACCCTCACAAAGCCGCTATAAAAAAGTACTTATTGTCTATGGGAATAACATAATAGAAAGAAGATACATGCTGCTTTAAAATACAGATACACAGTAGATGTGCTCCCAGGCTGATCCTGCAGCGCAAACTCTGGTGGCGCAGTGGTTTAGCAAGTTGCGTTCGGCTGAGAAGACGGGTCGTTCAGTTCCCTATCAGACTATATTCAACTGCAAAAGAGGTCACCGTTCAGCATATTGAGTTGCAATGCGTTGGATGAGTACTTTTGCTGGGTGTGAAGCGAGTTGGAAAAATTTACTAGCTGCAGAATGAAACGAGAGCTCAGAAATTAAACGAAACATCGCAAAAATGGAAGTCAGTTTCATATATGGTCAAATGTAGTGACTGCCATGTGGGATGCTGTCACTATGTCCAAGTGTGCTCGAAATCAGAATCGACTACCTTTGGGCGATGAAAATCACTGTTATTTAGAACGATTTTCAGTGTGGAAGACATTCAACGTAAGAATTTTTCAGTGAAGAGCGTTCCAGTGAAGAAACCTTCACCACTTCAGTGAAGAATTTGAGGTAGCTCTGCGGCAGGAATCGACGACTTCAATGTGAAATTAGTGTAGCTTGGAGACGGTGAAGGTTTTCTTGCTGCTCTGAGCCCAGTACAAAAATGAAAAAAAAAAGCAGAGACTGGCAACCGAGAATTAAAAAGAACAATTAATGACTGGCAGTCTTTGATTAATGACTGGCGGTCACATTGATGGTCTTTATCAAATTAAAGAACGGATTGCACCTGTTCAATTATCAAAGACGCATAGTTATGGCAAATAAGTCCAAAAGTCAAATCTACTTCACAGCTGCTGTCTATATCACAGCATTTCTACTTTTTCTAATGTCTTCTCATTGTTTTGTTAAAAAACGCTCATCATATGTGCAGCGGGTAGGAGAAAACTGTACTGATGATTCACACTTCTATCTGCACTTCGCGCACTGCCCATGTTCACAGCTAAGGGATGAAACATCTACTGCTTTCCAGCGCGCCCATTGCTACATTTGATATGTAGATCGATCCCTTATCTCTTACTCTGAACCGAATATTTCAATCAAATCAGCTAGATATTTAGCCTCAGCATATGCGGGCGACGAGTCGCAACGTATCTGCGACTTCTCGGCAACATAATATCCTTGGCCATGACTAAAGAAAAATTCAGGTTTATTGGCAGTAGAGTGCAAATGCTACTGCACTTCTACTAGTAGTTCGTTTAGCGGTAGCATAACCTATATCATCAGGTTTTGGAAAATGTTAATTTAATTCTTAATTAAAGATGACAAAGACTGACTGTGGGATTTCAAGGACTCGCACTTATTGGAGTTTCTTGAAAACATTAATTTTATTGAAGATTCCCTTCCCCCTTTCCTCTTCTTGCTCACTTTCGTCCCTCTTTTTCTCTGAATAAACTTAAAGTTCGAACCGAACCAAGATTAACTTCTTCATCCCTCTTCCTCTTAACTCAGAATGAGCAGTCGTTATCCAAAATTCTGCGTGTCAAATGATACAGCTTTCCCCAGTGCTACTAGTCTTTATAAAATTAAATTACCCAGTGCAGCGAACGGAACCTCTTTTATCATGTAATGAATACTTGGAAACGTACTGAACTCTTCATCTTCTGTGCCTCCGAATTCTTCGGATCGTGATTTCTTAACCGCCATCCTACTGGTATCTGCCATGCGCTAAAAGTCGAGGATTCCAAATATGTGGCACATACACATACGCAAACACATGCATACGTACGCACAAATACATAACTCAAACAAACATACATACGCACACACATACACGTGCTTCGTACTGCATTTGAAAAGGAACTGGTGAAAAAACTTATATTTTAACCATTGCGAGACGCGAATATTTTTGATGCGCAAAATGTTATTCAAATTTCGTAGTTTGCACAATTTCAGGTACCACAAATGCGTACAATACACGCACTCCTACTGCTCGTCGTCGCCTTCACTGTTCACTTCATCCATGCCCACGGCTGGCATTTCGGTGGTCAAAGGTCTGTCCCTTTCATCATTATTATAACTTACAACAAGTAATACCTAAATGATGCAGTGGCAACACAATAGGTCGAGGGGTCGTCTTTACAAGTCAAACAAACGATCCCTCTACGACTGGTTCATTTGTTTCAGTGACAAATTGCTACTGGTATTAATGCGAAGAAAGTCGAACCCGCCAGCAATTTACTTTTGATCAGTCTTCGTAAGACAGAACCATCGGCGGCTTTGCCAGACGGTGGCTAATGGTGACATTTGATAGCGTTACTCCTCTCACACATAGCGGATACGGAAGAGTTTTTGACTTTAGACATAACTGGACAGAAAGAATGTAAGTATGAATTTTTACTCATCACGGCCATCGTTTGGCTAAAGCCAGCGTTTCTTTGCCAAAATTTTATGTCTTTCGAAAATTTTTTGATACATTTCACTGAGGCCATTCGAGCAGCTCCTGAAATGATGGTACAAAACCGAATAGAGACGGTGGTACAACCGGAAGGTGAGCAACCCAGAATCGAAGGGCCTGGCATAGCTGCGTTAGATGTGCGCGGGCATCCCATGGGATACCCCAAGTGATGCTCGACCGTTCTTGATATCCCTGATGTTATCTGGGAAGGCGCTTTTGTCTTCCAACTTCCCGTAAAGGCGATGAAATTTTTACTAGTACTTTTTTCGAAAACTCCTCTACTACTCCTCCTTTTAATTAGTAATTATTATTTTTTGGGAGGAAAAGTAAGAATTATATGTTGTCGAAATAAATGGAATACATGTGTATTGTTACTTTGTACACACAGAAATGAACAACCACTATTAGCATATAAAGGCGAGCTTCACATTATCCTTAACAACACATTGATAATGCTTCTAGAAGTATCAAAAAATCTGTGAAAATTTGAATTAAAAGAAATAAGAAAAACATAAAAAGCAACAAAAAATTACGGAGTTCCTTGAAAAAAAAAATTTTTTTGCACGTTTGTCCCAAAAAAAAGGAAACATCTTGACCTCCTTCTGTCGTGGAAAACGCAGGAAAAACACGTAAAAAAGAGCCGTCACAAAAAAAATATATATCCCTATTTATTGGAAGCAGACAAGATAAGAAAGGTGTACACTGCCTTAAATAAAAGTGCTCCAAAGAGGGGTTCTCCTGGTGCACAAGTGCCAGTGGTCCAGCACGTCGCGTTCGAATATGGAGATTAGAGGTTCTATTCCCTTCCGATGAAAAACCCTTCTGCAAAAAAGGATTCCATCCATGATGTACCTTTTGTGGCGTGAGAGAATGAAGATTTACTAGCGACTTTTGACAGTGCTTCATTACATGTTTTCGTAGTAAAAAATAGAGAACTAAGCGGAGTTCTATGAGGCTTACTGTAGCTGTGATGGGGCTTAGGATCACTGGGACATATAAGACGAGATCTGATGCCGTGAGGCAAACGTATAGGGAGCTAGCAGTTAAATGAATGGAATTGCAGTGCGGATGATCAGATCGCATCGCGTGATATTCGAGCAAAGGAAATTTCACCGCCAAGCTACATGAAACGCACCGAGCAACAGCAACGAGAGCAATTATTACGGCATATTTGGATGGATAATTTAAATTCAAGGATTCCTAAAGGCAGTCAAGATATCTCGCAATCCTCGGTACAGTTCTTACCCTGGTGGCAGCAACGCTAATCGCTTCATTTTCGGCAATTCGCAAGTCCTCTGCTGTGGTGCGCATTGCCCGTATATTATCAGTACAAAGTAATCAGCTGTGTTAGCGTCATCATTATTGCATAATTATTGTTTGTTACGTGTCATTTGCCATACTTTGGGTGGAAGCAAGTTTGAGGCGTTATAAAATGTGAGGGTTTGCATGCTGCCCTAAGCGTTGATTCATGCAATCTTACCCAAAAGAAGCAAATGGATGTTTCGGATTTCGGACCGCAAAACTTATAACTGCACGTATCACCAAAGCGTTTTCAGCACTCGTCTATCACCTCAAGGAAAATTAAAATACACATGAACGTGAATGAAATTTAAACATTCAAGATAATCAAAAACGCCTGATCAGTTGGTATGGAGAACCCATGCTAATGACGTTACCAGCCAATCACATTCGGCTTGTTTCGAGCACTAAAGCAATTTCAGAACAAGGCATTTGCTCCCTCTAAGAAGAGAGGCACTCGAAAAGTAGCCTGGGCGGGTGCGAATGTCAGAAATAACTACTACGCATTGCCAAAGCTATGAATAGCTTCCTCTTTCGAGGACTTCTTTCAAGCAAACTAATTGCTGGTTTGATTCCCTGGCATATGCAGCTGTACCAATTTACCATCGAAACGAATGAATGAATTGTACAGGGACTGGGTGTCCTAACAGCAAAGTCGAACCACTTCTCACTGAGCCATGCCTATGAAACCAATTCAGACAAAAATTACCATCGTAATCAAATTGCTCAACAGAGTAAGAACGGCAAAAAATCCGATTCAGGATGGAAGCGCACCGCCGACGTCACTAAGATCAATTGAATCCTTCTGTTTTTTCAACTCATTCTCTTTGATTGCCGAAAACGGGCCACTTCTGCCAGATGCTGAAATACCGACACGCATCTGTATTATCCCATAGTGCACATTTGATCGGAGAATTCGACGGAAAAGAAAGGAGAGTAAAACAGATTTTCAAGGAGAAAAAGCATCTGATTTGTGGTACTTTGTTATTTGGCGCCCTTTGTTTCAAAAAGATTCTCCTAACATTTTAAAATTAAATTTAGGGTTCCTCCACCTGTTACCAATCGCTACCTTTCAGAATGAATTTTGTGCTTTTCTGCCAAATTTTTGTACCTGGTCTAATTGGATTTTGTCTAGCCCGGCAATTTTTTCGTACTCTAGATTAATTTATGCAGTCTTTCAACTCAGTTTCAGCAAATTATTACATACAGCGAAATTTGAACTTCGCTTAGACTATGTGTACCAAGAATATCAGGACCGCACAGGCTATCAGTGTGTTTATCCGTGTTAGTGATCACGCTGCGATGCTGCTACGTATCAGGCACAGGTACATCAGGCCCTTTAACCTTCAGTTGTATATCTCCAGTTGGTACTCACCGCCTGTTCGAAAGCGCTACCTCCTCGGGGGTTTTTCGAGCGCTTTTTGACTTTTTCATAACTGTTACTGCGATTGGCAAGGCAAGCAATATGCGTTGCCCACCGGAATTTACTTTCTCGCATGATCATCGAATATAAAAGAAACAGAAGTAGATTATATTTATATTTTTAGATGCGCACGTGGCATATATATATATATATATATATATGTATATGCATGCATATAGTATATGCACATATACTGTATGCACATATACTACATGCAGTTATTCCATATATATACTACGTATCCATCCGAAAACATCACCACACATTAATCATTTATAAACGCAAAAAGCATAACGGCATCTTAACTATGCATGTAATCGTTCTGCAAGACGACACTCTATAAATTATTGAAGTATTGTTTATGATGGCATCGTGGAGCAGAGATCCTACGTCAGCAAGGGACGACGAAGGGATAAAAGAAAGTTTCGTGAAGATGAGGTACTACTCTTCTAAGTGAAGTAAAATTTAAACCGCTATTCACGTTCCTGCCCTGCACCGATTCGGCTCTTTTGGAGTTTCCAGCAAACTGCGCTCTTACTTCGGACACTTCCAAAAGGCTGACAGTTTTCGGAACATCACTAAAAATCCCTGAGAATTTTCCTGAACACGTGCAGTATGATAGAGTATTTTTCGGGAAAAGGGCCATTACCGTGAAGGGGATCGGGAGAGTGAGGGGGTTTTTATGGGTGGGGCAAGGGGATAGTAACAGATGCAATCGCTCATGTATCTAGCGTGAAATTCACCGCTAAACTGGACTGTGAGTTTTTTGTTTGCGTGAATTATCGGTCTAACCTCTCATAGTGATATCAGAAGCATAGAGCTTGAATTAAATGAGAGAATCAAGGGATGGGAAATGAGAATGGTGAGGTTGGAGGAGGAAGAGGAAGGTAAACTGAAAATGGGGAGCTAAAACGTTTCGTGACATTAAGTTGTGAAACAACACTGTCATCTTAAATTTCATTTGTCTTTTAGGTGATGTTTTGATTTTTTGAAAAGTGATGGAAAAAACTTCATTTGCAAAATTGTTTTTTTTCAGCCGTTGTTGTAGGAGTTGTTGTTTTCCATGTTATTGTTAAGTCAACGCTGGTTGGACTTC